GCGGTAACCAGGGGTGTAGTCGACATCAAGAGGAACTGGTTGCCTGCTCTGAAGTGCTGTGGCTCCCAGGAATACATTTCGGGCAGCATGGTTAATGAGCATGGAGTGAAAGCTTGGAACACAGCTGTGCATGGGGCACAGAAGACGGCCCACCTCATCTGAGCCCGCGACACAGTGAGGATGGATCCAAAAGAATGATCTGGGACACCTGGTTCGAGAAGATGGGACTGAGGGGTCGCCATTTTTCTCCCCACAACCACCAAGGCAGGGCCCAAGGTATCCGCAGGCAGGACCTACAATGGAGGCGGGACCCACCTATACCAAACCACGCCCAGCTACACTGGGTAGCTGCTGGGAGCAGGTAGATGCTGTAGAAAGAGACGGCCCCTGCCCCAAGACCAACACTGCTGCATTGCCGTGATTAACTCTAGATCAATTCTTGCTATTCAGATATATTCTTCCTTTTCTCAGTCTTCTCTCTCCCCTCTGCGCTGGTTATTCTGGTTATAGGTTTGCTTAAAAGACATATTTAATCCATCCTCTTGATGCATGTTCTACACCTCCTTCTTTACCTTCCTTTCTCTCCCTCTGGAATAATCACACTATATAGTTACTCTGGGTAACATCTTTGTTTCTTTCTCCTTGCCTCTGCTGTGTTCTCCTTTTTCTCACTCTAAATTAAGCCTTTTAGTCTCTCTGCCTGGTCAATGTTCATTTTCCCTTTCTCTCCACCTCTGTCGTTTCTCTCTTTGCATATGCTCTTCCATCAGCACTGCCTCCACCCTGCTCTTTATTTGTAGGTGAGATTTCTGGTTTTATGCTTTTAGACTGTCTTTTTTTTTTTATTATTTTTGTCGGTTTGCTTGCTTGTATGATTTGTTTGTGTGTTTACATGTGTTTGTTCTCTGTTTTCCTTTCCAGGGCTACTTCAAGGAACAAACCAAAGCACACATGGTGGAGAGTCCAAAACATCACTACGAGTAGGGAAACAAAATAGCCAAAGTCACAACTAGAGAGACCAAGGGACACCCTTAAAAGAACACTTCCTGAATGGCCAGGCCCTGGACTGTGTATGAGCCTCTTTAATATAGCAGTACTTGCAGGTGCAGAGCACAAACTTACAAGAGACAGAAAGCTGAAATGATGAAATGGAAGAACTCTCTTCAAAAGAAATTCCAGGAAGAAGTGACAGCAAAAGAATTGATCAAAACAGATACAAGCCACATAACTGAACAATAATTTAGAACAATAGTCATAAAATTAATCACTGGGCTTGAAAAAGGCATAGAAGACAGCAGACACTCGCTATTGCTGCCAAGTTCATGGATCTTAAAAATAGTTATGATGACTTAAAAAAAGCTATAAATGAGATACATAATAAAATTAAGGCAGCCACGGCACGAAAGAGGCAGAGAGGAGAATAGGTGAATTAGAAGACAAAATTATAGAAAAAGAGGAAGCCGAGAAAAAGAGAGAAAAATTGATCTAGGAGCATGAAAGGAGAATCCGAGGAGTGATGCAATCAAATGGAACAATATCTGTATCACAGAAATTCTAGAAGAATAGAGAGAAAAAGAGGCTGAAGGGGTACATGAACAAATTATAGCTGAGAACTTCCCCAATCTGGGGAAGGAAACAGACCTTGAAATCCAAGAGGCACAGAGAACTCCCATCAGACGTAACTTGAATCAATCTTCTGAATGGCATATCATAGTGAAACTGGCAAAATATAAGGATACAGAGAGAATTCTGAAAGCAGCTAGGGATAAACGGGCCTTAACATACAAAGGTAGACACATAAGGGTGGTAGCAGACCTATCTAATGAAATTTGGCAGGAAATCTTTAATGTGATGAATAGGAAAAATATGCAGCCAAGAACCCTTTATCCAGCAAGCCTGTCATTCAGAATAGGAGGGATAAAGGTTTTCCCAAACAAAAAAAAAAGTGAAGGAACTCATCACCAATCCCTCAGAAATACAAGCAATTATCAGGGAATGCTATGAAAAATTATATGCCAAAAAACTGGACAACCTAGAAGAAATGGACAAATTCCTAAACATACACTCACTAACAAAATTCAAATGGGAATAGAAAATCTGAACAGACCCATAACTAGTGAAGAAATTGAATCAGTTATCAAAAATCTCCTAACAAATAAGAGTCATGGACCAGACGGCTTCCCTGGGGAATTTTACCAGACATTTAAAACAGAGTTAATACCTATCCTTCTCAAGCTGTTCCGAAAAAGAGAAATGGAAGGAAAACTTCTGGACTTATTCTATAAAGCCAGCATCACTTTGATCCCCAAACCAGACAGAGACCCAACAAAAAAGAGAACCACAGGCCAATATCCCTGTTGAATATGAATGCAAAAATCCTCAACAAGATACTAGCAAATCAAATTCAACAGCATATAAAAAGAATTATCCACCATGATCAAGTGGGATTCATTCCTGGGTTACATGGCTGGTTCAACATTCGCAAATCAATCAACGTGATACATCAACAAAGGAAAAGATAAAAACCATATGATCCTGTTGATAGAAAAAGCATTTGACAAAATACAGCATTGTTCTTAATAAAGACCCTCAAGAAAGTGAGGATAGAAGGAACTTTCTTAAACATCATAAAAGCCATCTATGAGAAGCCCTCAGCTAACATCATCCTCAACAGGGAAAAACTGAGAGCTTTACCCCTGAAATCAGGAAAACGACAGGGATGTCCACTGTCACCACTGTTGTTTAACATAGTGCTGGAAGTCGTAGCATCAGCCATCAGACAACAAAAGGAAATAAAAGGCATCAGAATTGGCAAAGAAGAAGTCAATCTCTCACTTTTCGCAGACAACATGATACTCTACATAGAAAACCAGACAGACTCCACCAGAAGCCTACTAGAACTGATCCATGAATTCAGCAAAGTTGCAGGGTACAAAATCAAAGTACAGAAATTGGTTGCATTTTTATACACCACTAATGAAACAACAGAAAGAGAAATAAAGAAACTGATTTCATTCACAATGGCACCAAGAACCGTAAAATATCTATGAATAAACCTAACCAAAGATGTAAAAGATCTGTATAGAAAGCTTATGAAGGAAGTTGAAGAACAAAGAAATGGGAAAACACTCCATGCTCATAGATAGGAAGAATAAACACTGTTAAAATGTCAATACTACCCAAAGCAATCTACACCTTCAGTGTAATCCTAATCAAAATTGTACCAGCGTTCTACAATTTGTATGGAATCACAAAAGACCTCCAAAAAACCAAAGTAATATTGAAGAAGAAAACCAAAATGGGAGGTATCACAATCCCAGACTTTAGCCCCTACTACAAAGCTGTAATCATCAAGACAGTATAGTATTGGCACAAAAACAGACACATAGACCAATGGAATAGAATAGAGAACCCAGAATTGGACCCACAAATGTATGGCCAATGAATCTTTGACAAAGCAGGAAAGAGCATCCAATGGAAAAAAGACAGCCTCTTTTAACAGATGGTGCTGGGAGAACTGGACAGCAACATGCAGAAGAATGAAACCAGAACACTTTCTTTCACCACACACAAAAATAAACTCAAAATGGATGAAGGACCTGAGAGTGAGATAGGAAACCATTAAAAACCCTAGAGGAGAAAGCAGGAAACAACCTCTTTGACCTCAGCTGCATCAATTTCTTATTTGACAATCTCCAAAGGCAAGAGAATCAAAAGCAAAAATGAACTATTGGGACCTCATCAAGATCAAAAGCTTCTGTACGGCAAATGAAACAATCAAAACTAAAAAGCAACCGATGGAATGGGGAAAAAAGATAGTTGCAAATCACATATCAGATAAAGGGCTAGCATCTAAAATCTGTAAGGAACTCACCAAGTTCCACACCCAAAAAACAAATAATTCAGTGAAGAAATGGGCAGAAGACATGAACAGACACTTCTCCAAAGAGGACATTCAGATGGCCAACAGACACATGAAACGATGCTCAGCGTCACTCACCATCAGGATGTACAAATCAAAACCACAATGAGATACCACCTCACGCCGGTCAGAGTGGCTAAAATGAACCAATCAGGAGACGATAGATGCTGGCGAGGATGTGGAGAAACGGGCACCCTCCTACACTGTTGGTGGGAATGTAAACTGGTGCAGCCACTCTGGAAAACAGTGTGGAGGTTCCTCAAAAAATTAACATTAGAACTCCCCTATGACCCAGCAATAGCACTGCTAGGAATTTACCCAAGGGATACAGGAGTGCTGATGCACAGGGGCACATGTACCCCAATGTTCATAGCAGCACTCTCAACAATAGCCGAACCATGGAAAGAGACTAAATGTCCATCAACGGATGAATGGATCAAGAAGATATGGTTTATCTACACAATGGAATACTACATGGCAATGAGAAAGAATAAAACATGGCCATTTGTAGCAACATGGATGGAACTCAAGGGTATTATGCTAAGTGAAATATGTCAGACAGAGAAAGATACCATATGTTTTCACTCATAGGTGGAACAGGAGAAACTTAACAGAGGACCATAGGGGAGGGGAAAGGGAAAAAAAAATAGTTAAGGAGAGGGAGGGAGTCAAACCACAAGAGACTCTTACATACTGAGAACAAGCTGAGGGTTGATGGGAGTGGGGGAAAAGGGAAAATGGGTGATGGGCATGGAGGAGGGCACTTGTTGGGATGCACATTGGGTGTTATATGGAAACCAACTTGACAATAAACTATATTACAAAAAAAGATACAGAATGAAGAATAGATTAAAAAAAACAGGACCTATCAATATGCTGCTTATTAAGAGACTCACTTCAGACTGAAGTAAAGGACTGAGAAACAATATTCCACGCAAACTGAAGCAAAAAACCTGGGGTTATGTCGGAGCAGCTTGGGTGTGGAAGGAGTGGCTACAGCCAGGCAGCCCAACCCTGTAAAGGCTCTCTGCACCCTGTGACCAGCAGGCACCGGGCATGTATCTGCCGTACTGCCACAATGCCCACAAGAAAGATCAGCTCTGCTGAAGGGGTGGCAAAGGAGCCCAAGAGGAAATTGGTGAGGTTCTCAACCAAACCTGCACCTGCAAACGTGGAAAAGAAGCCAAAAAAGGAGGAAGGAAAGGATACTCTTCAGACAAAAAAAAAAAAAAAAAGGAAAAGGAAAGCAAAGGGTAAACAGGCTGAAGTGGCTAACCAAGAAACAAAAAGAGACTTACCTACAGAAAATGGAAAATCTAAAAATGGGAGTCTAGCCTTTGATGAAGCAGGAGAGAAAGAAGCCAAGTCTGGTTAATAATATCATGTCTTATTAGTAGTCCCTATCTTCCTATATGTACAATCCAGAGGAATATTTTCATTAACTGTTTTGTAAACCCAAGTTTATTAGTAGCTCTGCAAACAATTTTAAAGAGGCAATCCACCTCATTCCATTTTTTTTAAGTGTAAATGCTTTTTTAAAAAGGTGAAATCATTTGCTAGTTGTTTATTTTTTTTGATACAACCAGGAAATAGTGGGATATTGAATATGGGATGCTTTGATTGTCTTTTGAGTGTCAGTTTAACATTCCATAGATGGGGTAGTTTTTATATCCTATAATGCCAAGCACACTAAATGGTAATTTGGAATCAGTCATGTGTTTAATAGGTCCTGAACATCTTAAATTGCTTCTATTCCAATGTTGTTTTTGACAGAATTGATTCCTAAAGAAAACCACTCCTTAAACTTGGCTCTCAGTAAGAATCTGATGCATTCTGTAACATCTTGGATGTGGTAGTCCAGTCCTAATAACTCTGTTATTGTGCTGCGTAAGATGAAAATTTGAGTATGTTACGTATATAATATTAAATTGTGAAATAATGGGATTTAACAATGTTACAGCATATCAACATTTGAAGATACTGGTACTTGATATACTGTTAAGAAAAATTTACCTCCAAATTTTAAGCTGGAAAGCCACTGAAATAACTTTTAGAAAAAGAAATCACAACTATGTGATTTTTCAGTACATATGTCCAGAAGTGTGTACAAACTGAATGTCTGTTCTGATCCTCAGAACAAAAATTCAATTATGGAAAAAAAAATGGGAGCACCAATACTTATCAGATAAAAATAGACTTTAACACAGACTGTAACAAGAGACCAAGAAGTACATTACGTAACAATGAAGGGATTTATAACAATTATAAATATCTATGCATTTGACACTGCGGCACCTAAATAGATAAAGCAAATATCAGCTAACAGACAAGAAGGAAGAAAGTGACAGTAATATAGTAATAGTTGGGAACTTTAACACCTTACTTATATCAATGGATAGGTCATCCAAGCATAGAATCAATAAGGAAATAGTGTTTCTGAAAGACACATTAGACCAGATGGACTTAACACAGACATATATAGAACACTCCACCCAAAATAACAGAATACACATTCTTTTCAAGTGCATGTAAAACATTCTCCAGAATAGATCACGTTAGGCCACAAAATAAGTTTCAATAAATTTAAGATTATAATCATACGAAGCATCTTTTCAGACCACAACAGTATGAAACTAAAAATCAATCACAAAAGAAAAACTGGAAAAACACAAACGTGAAGGCTCAACAACATGCTCCTAAACAACCAATGAGTCAATGAAATCAGAGAAACTTTAAAAAAATACATGGAAACAAATGAAAATGAACACACAATGGCCCAAAATCCTTGGGACACAGCAAAAGTAGTTCTAAGAGAGAAATTTACTGCCATACAGGCCTGTATCAAGAAATAAACTTTAATTTTTTAAAAATATTTTTTAAATATTTTTTTTAACAAAATATTGTTTATGTATTTTTGAGAGCAAGAAAGCACAAGTGGGGGAGGGGCGGAGAGAGAGGGAGACACAGAATCCAAACCAGGCTCCAGGCTCTGAGCTGTCAGCACAGAGCCAGAAGCAGGGCTCGAACTCAGAGACTGCAAGATCATGACCTGAGCTCAAGTCCGACACTTAACTGACTGAGCCACCCAGGTGCCCCAAGAAAAATTTCAAATAAACAATCTAACAATATACCTATAGGAACTAAAAGAACAAAGCCCATACTTAGTAGAAGGCAGAAAATAATAAAGATCAGAGCAGAAATAAATGAAATAGAGACCAAATAACATTAGAAAAGATGAATGAAATTTGACTGGTTCTCTTAAGAAATCAACAAAATTGATAAACCTCTGGCCAGAGTCATAAAGAGAAAAAAAAAGAGAGAGAGGACCCCAAAAAAGTCAGAAATGAAAAAGGAGAAATAACAACTGATATCAAAGACAAAAAGATTTGAAGAGACTACTATGAAAACTTATATACCAAGTGGACAAACAACTGAAAAGAAATGGATAAACTCCTAGAAACACAATCTTCCAAAACGGAGTCAGGAAAAAATAGAAAATCTGAACAAAATTGAATTGCTAACTTATCTTCCAAGATCAGGAACAAGAGAAGAGTGTCCGCTCTCACCACCTGTATTCAACATAGTACTGGAAGGTCCTAGCCTAGAAATTTCTAGTAAACAAGCAAGAAAAAGAAATAAATGGCATCCAAATCAGTAAGAAGTAAAGCTCATTATTTACATAAGATATGGCACTAAACATAAAAAAAAATCCTAAAGACTTCACCAAAAATTTATTAGAATAAACAAAGTTGTAGTTTACAAAATTAATATACAGAAACGTGTTGTTTTTATACACTAATAAAAAAGTAGCAGAAGGAGAAATGAAAACAATTCCATTTACAATTGAACCAAAAAAACCAAAATACCTAAAAATTAACTTAACCAAGGAGGGGAAAGACCTGTACAGTGAAAACTATAGAACAATGATGAAAGAACTGAAAACAACACAAATGAAAGATATCCCATGCTCAAGGGTTAGAAGAGTATTGTTTAAATGTACCTACCATACACAAAACAATCTACAGATTTAATGCAATTCCAGTCAAAATACCATAAGCGTTTTTCACAGAAATAGAACAAATGGTACTGAAAATTTGTATAGAATCATGAAAGACCCTGAATATCCAAAGCAATTTGAGGGGGGGAAAAAAAAACAACAACAAAGCTGGACATACCACAATTCCAGACTTCAAGATATACTACAAAGTTAACAGTAGACAAAATAGTATGGTAGTGACACATAAACAGACTCAGAAAAGAGAGAGAGCTTAGAAATAGACCCATGCTTCTATGGTCAATTAACCAACGACAAAGGAGGCAAAACTAGGCAATGGGGGGAAAAGACAGCCTCGTCAATAAATGGTGTTGAGGAAATTAGAATGATACTGCACCACACTCTTATACCATACACAAAAATAAAATCAAAATGCATCTGAAACCTAAATGTGAGACCTGAAACCATAAAACTAGAAGAAAATAGAGGCAGTAATCTCTTTGTCATGAGACTTATTAGCAACATTTTTCTAGATAGGTCTCCTCAGAATAGGGAAACAAAAGCAAAATTAATTTATTGGGGCTACACCAAAATATACAACGTGCATGGCGAAGGAAACCATCAAAATACAAAGGCAATCTACCAAATGGAAGAAGAGATTTGCAAATGACATATCGATAAGGGGTTAATACTGATAATTAATATAAAGAATTTATATAACCCAACACTAAAACATCCCAAATAATAGGACCAAAAAATGGACAGAGGACCTGAATAGACATCTATCCAAAGAAGACATACAGATGGCCAACAGACACATTAAAAGATGTTCAATATAACTAATCATCAGGGAAATGAAAATCAAAACCACAAGGATATATCACCTTACAACTGTCAGAATAGCTACTATCAAAAAGACAAAAAATGTTAAGTGCTGGCGAGGATGTACAGAAAAAGAGGCCCTAGTGCTCTGTTGGTGGGAATATAAAATGGTATATAGCCACTGTGGAAGACATTATGGAGGTTCCTCAAAAAATTAAAATAGAAAAACCATAGGATTCAGTAATTCCCCCCAAAAATGGAAACACTAATTTGAAAAGATATATGGACATCTATGTTTACTGTAGCATTATTTACAATAGCCATGATATGGAAGCAACCTAAGTGTCCACTGATAAGATAAAAGGATAATGAAGATACGGCACAAACAAACACACAGAATGGACTATTATTTGGATATAAAAAAGAATGAGATTTTGCCATTTGTGACAACATGGGTAGACCTACAGGGCATCATGCAAGTGAAATAAGCCAAAGACAAATTCTACATGATTTCACTTAGATGTACAATCTAAAACACAAAAGAACAAAAGCAGAAATGGACCTATAAATCAGAGAACTAATGGTTGCCAGAAGGGAAGGGATGAACATAGCATAATGTATACAGTTGTTAAATCAGTATGTCATACACCTGAAACCAATATAACGTGATGTGTTAACTATATTTCAATTAAAAAAAAATGATAATGGAAAAAATACTGATTGCTAGACTGCACTGCACATCTATGCAAGTCAGTATTTCTATGCAAGTCAGTACATCTAGGATGAAAATGTCAAACTGAACTTTCAATAATCTCCTCATGTGATTTTACGTCCTCCTATCCAATTTCAGAGCCATTACTCTACAAAGTGTTTACTATGAGATTTAGAGAATTCCAATAATAACTAGTATTCTTAAACATTTGTGGGCATGGTTAGTTCTAGATTATTAATCGGTAAACAACAACTACCTTTTGCATGAGATTTTGTTTTTAAAATTATAGAAAGCAATTTCATTATCTCTCTTACCACAACAGTATAGGAGAATCAGATTTACCTAGAGGAAATATATCATGCAAATATTTTATATACTTGGAATTAAATTGTTTCTTCTTAGACGTTTACATAAGAAAAGTACAAATTAAAACAGAATTGATGAAAAATGTTGACAGTTATTGCTAAGAACAATGAAATTCCCAAGAATGATTAAAAGGTGTTCTGGGTCAGCCAATTCCAACATGAGGGGTAGATTATTCTTCACTATCAAGAAGCAATGCTCTCTGGAGACTAGCTGGGTGTCCTACAATGTCCTTCAGCTCCATTCCGAAATCATCTACCCAGAGACAGCAAAATATTCCACAGGTAAAGGGCTTGGTCCCACAAGACTGCCCTCTACTTTGGATGCTAACTGTAAGCCTCCATTGTTACCTGTACTTCTAACCATACAGATACATAAGTCCTGAACAAAGCAGCCTGTCCTCCTGGAGTCTGGGGCTGACATAATGGCATGTGAAAAAGTTCTGGAAGCTCTCTGAACCCTCTCTTCTTTGGGTTTTTACAAAGGCTTCCTTACATAGAAATGATTAAGTCATTGGCAATTGATTCAACTTTCAGCTCCTGTCCTCTACCAACCTTGGTGGGACTGAAAGCTCCAATCCTCTAATTACACGGTTGGTTTCCTTGGCAATCAGCCCCCATCCTTAGTTGCTGTCCAAAAGTCACCTCATTACCATAAACACAGTCTTGGTAAAAAAGGGCTTGTTATAAATAACAAGACACCCATTTCACCTTCATGGCTCTGAAACAACTTCAGTAAGAGGTTAAGAAAACAACTATGACAAAAGATGATCCCATACCTCTTACCCTCAGAAAATTCCAAGGGCTTGGGGGGCTGTGGGCCAAGAATTGTGGATGAAAACCAAATATATATGAGAAACATGTTTTGGTCATCTAAGTGATCAAATATATGTTTCTTATAAATCACGATATTGCAATGATGATGGAGAAAGAGCAGCACAATTTGCCAGATAAGGTGGGTAGAAAGGAGCAAGAGTAGTTCCTGAGGCTAAGGGAGAGACCAATTCAAACACTGTTAAGAATTATTTTTAGAAAACCTTAAATTTCAATCTTCACTACAATCAACATTAGGAGCCCAAGTTGAGGCATGCTATATATATGGGGTTGTGAGATGTCAGAAAAGACAGAAATATCTTCTGACACCAGATAGGTCTTTTTTTTTTTTAATCTAGGAAAAAACAGGGTTATCCGGTTGTATTTCATCATATTTACCACATCCATCACTTACCACAGACCAGGCACTAGTGCTTCCTCATTCATTTTCCGATTTCATAGGAAACTACATTAAGTAATCAGTGGCAAAGCTGGGATGTGAACCCATATGAGCTTTCTTCCAAATCTGTTCTCTTAATACAACATTCTGAGAGACAACACAACATGTATTCAAACTTTTTCTAATAAGAATCTGGAAAAGGCAGAACTCATTGGTAGAAAGAACAGACAAGAGATTCAGAAACCCAGATTCTAGTCTGCAATCTGCCGCCTTGATTACTGATAGGTTTACCTCTTTGGATCTAAATTTTCCCACCAGTAAAATGACAGGTTGAACTGTATCAGTAAGATGCCACCTCCTGAAACTGTTCACATGAAGGCAAAACTTAATACAAATATAAAATGGCAACCTAAACAGAAGGAATTCACATTTTTGCCAGAAACTAACTAAATGGTTTAGTACAAACTTTACCTCAAATCCACACCAAACTTGGCTAGGGAGTTATTATCACCACCACTGATAAAGAAACTTAACACCTCAACAAGGTGATGTTAATTTGCCTGTAATCACACTGGCCTGGCCTTACGCGACACAGCTAGGGTTTGAATCCAGGGCGATTTAGTAGGCTCTTGCCTCTAGTCTACATTGCCTCCTGAACTGAACTTCATTATTTCCATCATCATCCTACCTCTGAAAAGCTAAATATCCCTAACCCACTTCACAGGATCAATTAAGATACCATGGAGCAAAACGGACCAACACTTACTTGTTTCCTATTTTTAATTAAACAACTAAGGGCAGAAATGGCCTAACTAGTTTACAAAGAAGAGGTAATCAGGTGCCTTTTTTCAAGATATTGTCACACTTATCTATGGATCTCAGCACTCAAATATCCTACAATTCCATAAGTGCCCCAAATATACTCAGCATCAGATATACAGTATAAACAACTCCATTTTCATTTCTATAACCCTCACTGAGTGTCACTAAACTGCAACAGTCCAGAAGGAAGCCTGACGACTAGGGAATCGTAAGACTTTTTCTGGGTTAGCATAAGTACAAAGAGCAGTTTACTTCTTTTGATTCTTTTCATAAAGTTAACATACCTCAATGAAATCGAGCACTTACATACATCAAGTGTTATTAATTAGCATTACCAGTAATTACTCTCCAAAAGTGGTAACAGAACTATATATTTTTTTTTTAAATATTTTTATTTATTTCTAGGAGAGAGAGAGAGAGAGGCAGCGTGAGCAGGGGAGGGTCAGAGAGAGAGGGAGACACAGACTCTGAAACAGGCTCCAGGCTCTGAGCCGGCAGTCAGCACAGAGCCCNAGGGGAGGGTCAGAGAGAGAGGGAGACACAGACTCTGAAACAGGCTCCAGGCTCTGAGCCGGCAGTCAGCACAGAGCCCGACGCGGGGCTCAAACCCACGAACCGCGAGATCATGACCTGAGCGAAAGTCGGACGTTTAACCGACTAAGCCACCCAGGCGCCCCAACAGAACTATACTTTAACCCATAATATAAATACCACACGGGAGAAAAAAATTACATTGGTTCCATTACTTCATGGACTATGAAAAACTTCATCACATTTCATTTCATCACGAAAATGTTCTGTGTTGATAATTGATATTTACAGAGTGTTTATGGCATGTCAGGCAGCTTTCAGGGGAACTACCTTATTTGTTCTTCATGACTCTGCATAAGACCTCTGATGTGGGCAAGAATTTCCTGTTCTCACAGGTGGACAGAATAAGACAGGCAAATGTAAGAAAGTGAGGAAGGCAAGGAATGAAACTCAGCCAGTTGATTCCGGAGCCAGCAAAACTCTTAGAAACTACGCGTTGGTGCGGTGAAGAGGGAGCAGCATTACTCTCATTTCAGAGATGGGGGAGAATGAAGAAGAGATTTAGTCTCCCACCCAGTGTCAAGCGAGTAAGTGGAAAATTCAGCACTCAGACCTTGAGTTAATGTTCGGACTTCATCCAGTGCGTTTCCCATTACATCATACTCTCTCTTTAACACTAAAACCTTACATTCGTATACAACTTCCCACTTTATAAACACTATCGCATTAGAATTTTCTAATGACCCCGTGAGGGATTATCATTCCTAATGTACAGAGGAAGTAGGGAGTGGCCGCAAAGGGTTAGGAAATTAGATATGGCAAGTTTAGAAAACTAGAATTTAAATTCTATACTGAGACCGTGAGCAATCCAATTCAAAATTCCACAGGAGGAGAGAAAATGTCTCCTCTGTTTGAGAGGCACGGGTCAATTTCGATCCTAATACGTCACTATCTTTGATCACCTTAGCATAGCTCCAGCGACACATGCTAGAGCAGTTTATGTTCCCACTGGTATTAGAGTTTTAGTTGATCCTTTACCTCGCCTTTGGGTGTATGAGCGGTCTGTAGGCGCGACAGTCCACCTACCGCGCACGTAGTAGTAACTCAACAAATGATCGAAAATCACACCGCACACACAGGTCAGATACCGGAGAGACGACGAATTACCTACCGTTAGCCTCGTTAACGTACATGGGGGTGAAGTCCACTGCCTGGACGCCCCAGGCAGCAGCGTCCTAGCCACACATCCCTCTTCCGTTTCCGTCAGAAATGCCATTTCAATGAATGAAATGAAACGAAAGGCGCCCCATTAATTCAGAGTATGGAAAGAAAGTAAGCAATCGGGGGCAATAAAGGGAAGGAGCAAGGAGGGCTTGGAAGAGCCAGCTCGCAAATGTCACAGGAGTTAGAGATGCCGAGGGGCGGGCCGCTCCCTAGGCAAAGGAGGGGGGGCGCCGGTTTGTGAAGAAAATGACGTCTCTTCCGAGCAGCAACAACACAGGAGGTTGATCCCGACACTGCCCGCATCCCTAGCCCGGCCGACGCGAATCACTCACCCCCAACTCAGGCTCCGTAGGGCCGCCCCCAGGGCCGCCGAGTTTCGATTCCCCAGCGTTTGGATACGGACCGAAAACAAACCGGGTCGCCAGGGGTCACCACGGGCTTCCGGTTTCCTCGAAGACACCGCTGCTTCCCCAGAGAAGGCAGCCGCTCCGGGAACGCAGCGGAAGGATTCCCATCTCTTTAGCCGCGGCTCCGCCGCAATGGGCGCAGCCCGGCCCTCCGGCTGGGGGCCCGGGAGGTTCTGGAAAGAGGGCCAACGCTGAGGAGAAGAGGCCCGAGACGCCCCGGCAAAACGCCCGTTACCCAGCGACACGCGCGCGACACCCAGGCCCGCCGGCACCCGCCTCGTCAGCGTCCGCCGACCCACGGCTGCGTCGCGTTCCGCGAAGGGGAAGCGCTGTAGAGGGGGCCTGGAAGCAGCGCACCGCCGGAAGTAGGGCGCCAGCTGTCCTTAGACTAGGCGCCGGCGCGCGCAAGCAAACCGGAAGCCAGGCCGAAGGGAGCTGAGAGGGCGTTCCAGAAGCCGGAGCTCTGAGGGGAGGGGGAAAGAGGATGTGGGCGTGGCGTACTACGTGTCCCGTGAGCCTCCGCGGCGGGGCGGGGCCGCGGCGGCGCTAGGAGGCGGAGGCGAAGGCGGAGCTGGAGTTGGGTAAGCGCGTTATCCGCCACTGTGGCCGTTGGGTCGGCGGCTTATTTCTCGGCAGTCGTCCGACGAATCTTTTCCACTCGGCGTCCGCTTGGGGGTCCCCGAGCTTTTGCGGTGCGTGTTGGGTCCGCTCTGTTAGCGCCGTTAAGGGTTCATAGAGCTGTCGCCTCGCTGTGGCTGGGAGTTGGTAAAGCTGTAACGATGCTTTCGGGGCTAGGTGGGGGGGGCGGCAGGAAGCTGTTCAAGCCCCCCACCTCCGTTTCCTGGGCGCTGCTGCGAATTTTCAGGCTATCGTTTGAAACATAAGCTCGGCCAATTACTCATGGTCCCATAGTTATTCAGAGAACTGCTGTTTAAAAAAATATACATATTATATTTTTTAATAAAAAATTATACATATAATATTTTTAGTTTAGTGCCAAGCTTTGAAATTTGGGAATTGTACCCCTGGCTGCCTTAGAGTTGCTACCGTCTTTGGTTATTTCTAGATGATAATCCTTGAGTAAGCTGCGGAGTCGCGAGTTGTTGCACTTGTTACTGTCCTTGGAGGTCGCAGTCAGGTGAAACCCCTCAAGCTCTGCGGCTTTTTCTGGCTAAAAAAAATAAACGAGAAAATGGTAAATGTAGGCAGTTTATCCTGATTAAACGCCAGTTGGCAACAATGAAGCCCCTCACCACTCTCTTACTTAGTATTCGGTCAACTGAAGTCTTAAATATTGGTTAATGTTAGATATTTTTGCATCTCGTTTTGATTAATCACCTCCCCACCCCGTTATCTCTGATCAAAGGATGGATTCGACTCAAGGCTTAACTTTAAAATATGTTTTATTGTGGTTAAGCCCCTCTTTTTGGTTTCAGTGAAAATTAACAGCTGTTAACGAACAAACACCGCATGCAACTTTAGATTTTAACGTATTTTTAAAATATGAGCACAGAGCTCAACACAAGACTTGAAATCATGACCCTGAAATCAAGACCTGAGATGAGATCAGGAGTCAGACACTTAACCGACTGAGCCATCCAGGCACCCCCAAAATGACTTTGTAATGTATAAGGAAATAAAATCTATCATATGGATATTAGTCAGATAAATGGAGACAAGCAATTTCCTCCATTACTTTTTTATGACAGTTTCTGTATGTGCCTATGAAAACCTTTTTTTCCTATTTAAAATCAGGAGAGAAGAAATAATTCTGTGACGTTTACATCTGCACTGTAAAAACCAAGAAGACAAAGTCAGTTTGTCAGAGAAAAGACATTTCGTAAAACTACCAAATAAACAGCAATGAAAGGATAACATTAAACTTCTGTAGGATCTATAGAAAGAAATTAAGCTAGATTGTTTAAAAAGATTATATAGTGGAGAGAAAATTGCCAAAGCCGTCACACAACTCACACTGTGTAGTGAAATTGTTGAATTTATAATACACACAGTTAAACACATAATTTCCTAGGGTAGATTTTTAAACTGCCTATGAATAGTCAATTGATTCTTAAAAGTACAAAAAAAGATGTGGTTTTAATTCACTAATGTTAATCATTTTCTCTGTAGTCTTTCCTAAATTTATATATATATATTTTTTCCTAAATTTTATATATATATGTGTACATATATATATATTTTTTTAAGAGAGTGTGAACCAGGGGAGAGAGGCAGAGGGAGGGAGGGAGGGAGAGAGAGAGGGAGAGAGAGAGAGAGAAAGAGAGAATATCAAGCAGGCTCCACACTTGGCACAGAGCTCGATCCCACAATCCTGGGATCATGACCTGAGCAGAAATCATAAGTTGGGTGCTCAGCTGACTGAGCCATCCAGGCACCCCTACATTTTTTAAGTTTATTTATTTGAGAGAGAGAGAGAGGGTGCACACATATGAACCCACAGAGGAGAGGCAGAGAGGGAATTCCAAGCAGGCTCTGCGCTTGGAGCCTAATGCTGGGCTTGATCCCACAAATCAGGAGATCATGACTTGAGCCAAAATCAAGAGTTGGATACTCAGCCAAGTGAGCCACCCGGACGCCCCTCTACAGTCATTTAAAAAAATTTTTTTTTAATGTTTTATTTATTTCTAGGAGAGAGAGAGAGAGAGACAGCGTGAGCAGGGGAGGGTCAGAGAGAGAGGGAGTGACAGACTCTGAAACAGGCTCTAGGCTCTGAGCTGGCAGTCAGCACAGAGCTCGATACCGGGCTCGAACCCATGAACCGCGAGATCATGACCTAAGCGAAAGTTGGACGCTTAACCGACTAAGCCACCCAGGCGCCCCAACAGTCATTTTATAATATTCCCTTTTGGCTTTAAAAGACTTTCCCTCTCATCTGATAGCCGATCTGTTCACCTGGTTTTATGGATTCTACTTCTTAGCTATCTTTCAAATCCTGTTCCATAATTCCTAATATGCTGCAGTTTTCTATTTGTACTGTTACAATAGTTTCTTCTAATTAGTTTCCTTTTGGCTTCCAACTTATTCTTTGTATTGATGTATATAATGATCTTTTAAAAATGTAAATCTTGCCATTACATTTCTCCTCTCAAACTCTTGAAATGATTCAGCATGTTTTTAAAAGACATTCTTAAACTAGCGCAGCCTATTTTTTCACCAGCTCTTATAAACATTGCCAACTCAGGAATGAAATTGGGTATTTTTGTTCATTTATATAAAGTTTTTATTGAATTGACCCCAATTGTGATCTTCTATATAAACTTTTTTATTTTATCATTGATATTTTTTAAAAATTTAAAAATTCTCAGTTAATTGGGGAGGCCTGGAAAGATTCTCCAACATCAGTTTGAGAATTATGATTCTACTTACATATTTGTCTTAAAATGAAATCACATTTAGAAGACGATCCTGTATCTCCAGATAATAGATATCATCATATTGAATCACAATTTTTTTATATTATTGCGTTGTGATTTTTTTTTTAGAGTATGTGACAGAAAGATATTATTTTAATACCAAGTGTTCCCTAGTCATAATCAAAGCCCTTTGTGCCTGAAATAAAAAAAAAATTCTTCAAGACCATCCTAAACTAATATCAAAATTCTTAATAGTTCTTCTACATCATAATGAATTGCATTGCTGTATATTATTGACAGGAGCTATTAGAAATGTTCTTACCTTATCCCATCCTACCAGTGCTTTTTCTGGAATAATCCACATTTTCAACTTAAAGACTTTTTTTTGTTTGTTTCTCTAACAAGACAGCTTTATGCATTTATTATCTCAAATGAACTAATATGTTTCTAATACCTGTGTTGGCTTATATAGAAGTGTCAGGAACAGAGATAAGGCAGTACTAGGACTACCTGGAAATACTTCACTGTACATTGAGAAAATCATTGATATGTTGAGCTTAGTGACTGAGGTGATTGCCCAAAACAAAGAATTTTAGAACCCAGGTTATCCTTTCATTATTTTTCCATTTTGATGTGTAATGCTGTTTAGATGGAAATGGAAATGAAATGACTACATTCACACCAAATCTTGTGTTTTAACTTAGGAATTTATTAGCAACAGAAATACGATTTAAATTACCAGTAACATTTACATTTGAGAAAAATGTAATTATTTCTTGACATTGAGTATATCATTCATTAATTTGGAATATTTAATGTTTTGGTCAATATATCTTTTTAGTTATCAAACATAGTCTAAAGAGTCTCAAGAGATTAAAAGGTGTTTTTTTTTTTTTTTAGTCTATGCATCTAAGCAGAGGACAACTACAGTTTTCCAGATAGAGCAAACTCACTTAAAAAAATATGCATATGGATGTCTTTGATTTGGGGAGCAAATAATGTCCTGGGTTGAAGAAAAGAGGAAGAGACCTAGGGAAAAATTTTGTGCATTTTGATATTAAATGAATTAGGAGAATATTCCATAATCCATGTTTACTAAGAGTCAAGAACAGAAGTCTTTATAAGATCATAATTATCTCTCATCTTTAAAAAAATTTTTTTATCATTTTATTTTTGAGAGAGAAAGAGCACGATCAGGGAAGGGGCAGAGAGAGAGGGAGAACTGGAATCTAAAGCAGGCTCCAGGCTTAAACTCACGAACTGTGAGATCATGACCTGAGCTAAAGTCTGACACTTAACTGACTGACCCACACAGGCTCCTCATCTTTCATCTTTAAAAACTGTGAGGCAGGTTTATTCACTTTTTCAGAAGAGAAATGTAGAGCAATAAGGAAATTATCAACTCTAAAATATGGTATTAGACAGATATAGATACATACGTATGTGTATATATATATATACACACAAATATATGTGTATACACACACATATATGCTATATATATATAAATATATATACACATAAATACATACTGTATTTATGAAATGGTTCTTTAATTAAGAGTTAGAGAAAGTATGCTTTTTCCCCATATGACCTAAATTATATCAGTCTCAAATCTCCTTTTTGCTGAGAAAAAAATAAAAATTTTTAATATTGATAATACATAATGTTAATAATTCTGCTTCTCCTAATGATATTTTAATAAAAAGATTTAGGAAAAATAGACTTAGATGACCGTCATTTTTCTGCTTTACACATTGAAGGATGATATATTTAAAACCAAATATATCAGTACTACATTAAATGTACATAGAGTACTCAAAGACTGTCCTATTAGATTAAGAAAAATGCTGAATATAAGGGATCTGTGGAAAATAGCAAAGGATGAAAACATATTGATTATGAGTAAGCTAAGCTAAAGTAGAAAGTAGCCTGATATAAGATATTAACGTGAGACAAAGCAGACTTTCAGAAAAGAAAAAAACAAAGTATTATTTCCACCAGAAGATAAATTCTGTTTGTGTGCATTTAATAAAACATCTTCACAATATATGAAGCATAGCTGGACAGAACTAAGAGATAAACACACAAAACTGGAAGATTTTAACTTACCTCCACTAACTGCAAGAATGGAAAAAGAAAAAAATGCATTAAGGAAATAGATGATTGGAATTAAAATCATTACTGTCACACCCACTAGGATGACTATTCTCAAACAAATGGGTAATATTCATCTTAAAATTAATAAGGAATCCAAGGAATCAAGGGAATCCTCGAATAGCCAAATCAGCCTTGAGAAAGTATAACAAACTAGAGGTTTCACATTTGCTGGTTTCAAAACATGTTACAGAGCTACAGAATCAAAACAGTATATCACTAACACAAAGACATAAATCAATGGAATAGAATATATATCAAAGCCCTCATATAGGTGGTCAAATGATTTTCAGCAAAGATGCCAAGAGCATTCAATGGAGAAAGGACAATTTTTCAATGATTGGTATTGGGAAAGCTGAATATCCATATGCAAAATAATGAAGTTGGACCCTTACCTCACACCATATGTGAAAATTAAGTAAAAATGGATCAAAAACTTAAGTGTCAGAGCTAACACTATAGGGGCGCCTGGGTGGCTCAGTAAGTTAAGCGTCCGACTTCGGTTTATGTCATGATCTCACAATTCGTGGGTTCGAGCCCCACATTGGGATCTGTGCTGACCGCTAACTCAGAGCCTGGAGCCTGCTTCAGATTCTGTAACTCTGTCTCTGACCCTCCCCTGCTCACACTGTCTCTCGCTCTCTCTCAGAAATTAAAAAAAAAAACAAAAAAAACAAAACAACACTAACACTGTAACAGTCTTAGAAGAAAAACAAGAATAACCTTCATGGCATTGAACTTGGCAGTGAGTTTTTGGATATGACCGCAAAAGCACAGGCAACAAAAGAAAAATAAGTGAAAGTCTCTAAATCAATCTCTAATAAAATCATCTAGTGAGTCCAATATTGGAAAAATACTGTGATATTTACTTTGAATTTCATTAGAACTGTGTAAATACATAATTGAGGAGTAAAAAGACTGGCTTCAAAACTAAAACCAGCCTATGCTTAAATAATGTAGGCAGTAAATGACATGGAAAAATGTTCACAATGTATTGGTAAGAAAGCAAATTGCCAAGTTCTGTTCAGAATTACAGGCTGATTTACTTATGTCTTTCCCTTTTATTAAAATTACAATTAAAAAATAAAAAAGGGAATATACACATAACAGAAAAAGAAAGGGTTGGGGAGTCATCAGTGGATACATGATTTCGACAAGTATTCTGAAAGAAACAGGGCTTGAACATGTTCTCAAAAGAAATGGGGACCGAGAAGCTTCACAGAATATATTGGAGAAGAGTCTACAGTGTAAATGGGAATTAATCTTCCCAGAAAGATGATGGCAAGGCTATGGAGGCCCTAAACGTAAGGATGAATTTGGGAATTTTAGAGTCTTTTATGAAACTAATGTGTCTCCTTGTCTTTTCCAACTCATCGTTTGTGCAGAAAGGCAGCCCAGGGTTTCCTCCGAGACCAAAAGAAGAAAGGACCCACCCACTCTAAAGAAATTGAAAATTGGACAAACTGGGAAAAACCTTTAGTTTGTTTCTTTCCAGGGTAAGAATTGCAACTTATTCCTATTCTCAATGTGGCATGTTTACTTTGCAAATTTAGATGTGGTATGTTGAAGAAGCATGCTTTCAGTTTTATATTATGTAATTTAAAATTACTTCTATTTTCACATTCTCATTTTAAAACTCTCTAGTGATTCATTTTCTCAATATTTGTATAGTGATTCTTGAAACAATAATTATGTAGTTACTAGCATCCAGAATAAGAAAGTCATCACTCTTTATTAGAATTATGACACATTTCTAAAATGAGGAACATCAATGACAGTGTATAAATCATTTGGAATGACAAGTTGAAATTCTCTAATTAGACTCTCTTGAGATTCTGTTATTGTGTCTTGTGATTTAAAGGAAGTGGTGAACTTAATTGAAGATTGTTATTCCACGACATTAGTGGAACAAAATTTTACCTTTAAGCAAATCAACTATTTTACTCCCATGGCAAACAGCTTAAATAAAAATCAGCTGAGAATGGGCACATGTCTGGAGAAATAACTAAGCCAATCTGAAATAATGCTCTCTTCAATCTACTGATATAATTCTACTCCATTTATAACACTATTGTATTTGGTATACTGTCTGAAGAACTTAATTTATATTATCCTTGTTGGGTCTGTTGTTTTATTTTTAAAAGTCTCCATATACTGAATAAACTGGAATATTTGTAACCAGTATAGACCTAAAGCATACAGATCAATTACTAAGATTTGAAATTAGCATTTAGCACAGTTTATCAGATTTCTAACTATTTGTTAAGTATTCCCTTTAAAAATTTTAAAGCCGAAGAATATAGTTGCTGCAAAAGGTATCAATTTTTGGTTATGCCAATAAGCAGTTTCTTTCCATTCAACTTTGATTTCAGATTTTGGATGAAATTTATCAGTTATCTTCACTATTAAAACAAAGCAAAAGTAAAGAAAATATCTATTAAGCATCTTGGAGTTTTTTTTTTTTTTTTAGTTTATTTTGAGAGAGAGCGCGTGCACACACGCACGCACACACACGCACACACAGGAGTGGAGGAGGGCAAGAGGTAGCATCCCAAGCAGGCCCCACACTGTCAGCACAGAGCCAGACTTGGGGCTTGATCTCACAAACGATGAGATCATGACCTGAGCCCAAATCAAGACTTGGTTGCTTAACCAACTGAACCACTCAGGTGCCCCATCTTGGAGCATTTATTAAGATAGAATCTATCCAAAAGTATCTGCATAAACTAGTTCATGAATGACAAAGCTAAATTACAATTTTGCACAGGCTCTTAATAAATTCCTGTTGAGTCATTAACTATAATCTAAGGTTGACTTATAGGCACAACTTTATTAATTAGGTAAATGAATGAACAGTGAATGTTAAATTTACATCACAGAGAAAATTAAAGATAAATGTATTTTAGAGTTTAGAAGCAAACTAAATAATTATTTGTTAAATTGAGCACTTGAGAAAAATCATTAAGGAAAGATGAAATAATTAGAGTATACTCATTTTGCATTGGTTTCTGTATATTTTAATTTTCTTATCTAACTACAAATTTAACTCACTTAAAAGCAGAGTAGAAAGGAAAGCAAATATTTCTTATATGTCTTTAGTGTACCAGGCACTGAAATGGGTTTTATATGTGCTGTTTCATTTTGTCATTAAAACTGTCCTATGAATTAAGTATTATTACCCTCAACACATACAGATGATAAAATGATGTCCAGATCATTTAACTGACTTGCCTTAATTTAAAAATGTCAGGAAATGGAGCCAGAATTTAAATCCAGAGCTACAGAAGATATACAGGTGATACATACAGCCATCCTGGTTGTTAAATATTTTGAGTATCAACACCACCGGGGGCAGTCCAATTCTGAAGTCCATTATTTTATAATATTAAAAAAATGCTATAGTTTTCTTAGGAACTTTTTTAGATGCCTAGGATACAGTGGTTAACAAGATAGATAGGAGCCTTGCCCTAAGTATATTTTCATTGTCTTGTAGGGGACTTCCTCAAAGTCCCTGTATGTAGAGTACGTAAGACTGGGGGGATGGGGACACATGGAAAGAGCTTTGACCCTTACTTACCATTTTTCGGATTGGTTTAGATATCATCTCTCTTAAGTGGCCTGACACCCTCTACCTGAGAGGATAGTGTGCCACCATCTGCTTCTGTAGCATTCTGTGTTTGTACTCATAATACTTAACGTTACTTGAGGAGAGGGATTTTTGTTTTTCCCTGGAGAGGGATTTTTGTTTTTCCCTAAGCGTCAAGTCTGGCTCATAGCAGACCCTCAAGAAGTATTTCAGAACCAAAAACAAAGAACAACAATAGAATCAGGATCTGAAACTGCAGCAAATAAATGAGCAGTTTTAGATAAGATTTTAGGTGAGATGAGAAGTAATAGAGATTTCCTTGTAAAGTAGGAGACAAATTTATCTTTTGAGAATGGGGAAGATGGTGTGAGAAATATTTATAAAGGTTTAGAATAATCACAGTGAAGATGCAGGAGAAAAGAGAAAGAATACACTAAAAAAATAGCCTTGGGATGTGCTAACAGCTCCTCTTGAAGTTGGAATCTTTGCATTTGGCGTGGTACCAATAGACATTACTACATACTTTCCTCTAAGAATCAGCAGCTCTGATTCAAGAAATCAGGGATCAAGCCTATATTTGTTAAGAATGCTCTTGACCCCAAGTAATTGGACAGATAAATAGTAGTTTAAATGTGTAGGGGTTTTCTTATGGATCCAGAAGAACATACAGATATATAACAATAATAATTTTCCTAAAGTTAAGAACAAAAAACTTCTCATAAGGTTACCACGCGTTCTTCTGTGCATATCAATTGGAAATGGTTTTTCTTCTGTTTTGTTTTCTGAATTCTTGTTTTGTACAATAAATAACTTTATATTAAAATTTATCATGGAAATAAAAGTTTAGAAGGAAAGTATCTCTGTTTTGTTTCCAAAACATTTTTTAGTTTATGCTGAATGTTATTAGTACCAGACACCACTTGAGTATCATTAAGGAACCTAGGACATAAGAAGAAATGATTGTACACTTTAAATGGGTGAATTTTGTATGTGAATAATATCTCAGTGAAGCTGTTAAAGCTAAAGAAATGAAGAGAAAAAAATGGGAATTTCCTCCCCTACACATAGCAAAACTTAATAGAGAATTTGACTATTTGTTGTGCAAGTAATATATCAAGAGGTTTCTTAAAAAGTGGCTTCTCGTTTTGGAGTGGTAGGGAAAGGTGAATCATGGTAGATGAGGCCTAAAATACCAAAATTACTAAATAAGTCAAGCTTATATTTTTATACCAGACTCTCCTCAACTATTTGCATAATACATATGTCATAACTTGCTCTGATCTCAATGCTTCCTGGCTTGCTTTTTTCTTTCTTTGCATTTCTGTTCTCCTGATTCAGAGAAGGGAAACAAAACAAAACTAGAATGGGGCGCCTGGGTGTCTTAGTCAATTAAGTGACTTTTGGTTTCATCTCAGGTTATGATCTCGTGGTTCGTGAGATTGAGACCTACATCGAGCTCTTTGCTGACAGCTAGAGTGTTCTGCTCTCTCTTGTTTCTCTCTCAAAATAAATAAATAAATATTAAAAAGAAAACAGAAACCTACTTGAAGTTGGCTAAAATTGTTTTCTCCACGTTATTACTTGATAATTACACTTTAGCATGCTCCAATGAGGAGGATTTCAAATCTACCACTAACCTAATGTTGTTTATAGATCATCGATGACTTCCATTTTTAAATCCAGTGTACACATCTCTGTTCTCCTTACTGAAATCCTAAGAAACATCTAACACAATCATCTGTTCTGTCTTTGTGAAAACATAAGTGTCACCAACTTTGATTCAGTTACTTAGGCTGAAAACTTAGTAGTCAATCTTGATCACTACCTTTCCCTTATTACCTATACAAAATATATCAGTGAGTTCTACCCGTTTCACCTCTAAAACATATGGATTTAGTTTACTTTTCTCAGAGCCCTACTTATACCCAAGACCAAAGCATTCTTTCCTCAAATTGTTTATACTGTAATATGATGTATTTTTAAAATACATGCTTTGTTGAATTGTACCATATATACAAAAAAGTGTGAAAATTATAGCTCACAAAGTAAGTACCTTTATAACCATATTTGGGTAATAATGAAGTCTCTTCCTCTCACTCATTATCTATCACAGTTGTTAGGACCCTTGAAGAACATTGCCTGCCCCAGAGAAGCTACCCCACGGCCACTCTCAGTCACTAGATCCCTTTGATCCAAAGCTATCTACTATCTTAACTTTTAACACTGCAAATTAGTTCTACTTGTGTTAAACCTTTATTTAAATGGAATCATAAAGTGTGTATTTTTTTAAATCTGGCTTCTTTTGGTATGTTTTGAAGATTCACTGACATTTTGTTTGGCAGTTCATTTTTATTGCTATATAGTATTCTACAACGTGAGTATACCATATTTCACTTTCCTACAGTTTTATAAGATATTTTTAAATGTTTTAATGTTTATTTTTGAGAGAGACAGAGTGTGAGCAGGGGAGGGGCAGAGAGAGAGGGAGACACAGAATCAGAAGCAGGCTCCAGGCTCTGTCAGCACAGAGCCCGATACAGGGCTCAAACATGCAAACCCTGAGATCATGACCTGAGCCGAAGTCGAACGCTCAGCCCACTGAACCACACAGTGGTTCTGCTGATAAGTTTACATTGGTATCTCGTACTTTTTTTTTTAAGTTTTATTTTATTATTTATTTTGAGAGAGAGAGTGTGTGCATGTGTACTCCAGTGGGGGAGGGACTGAGAGAGAAGGAGAGAGAATCCTGAGCAGACTCACACTCAGGGCAGAGCCTGATATGGGACTTGAACCCATGGACCAAGAGATCATGACTCCCAAGAGTCAGACGCTTAACTGACTAAGCCACCCAAGTACCTCTCTCATTGTACTTTTAGTTTGCATTTCCTTTATGACTGTTAAGTTTGAGGACGTTTTCGTATTTATTGGTCATATGGATGGACTCTTGTGAAGCACCTGTTTAAGTCTTTTGGCCATTTTTCTATTGGTTTTTCTGATTGTTTTCTGATTGATAGATCTGTACTGGAAATCTTTCCTGCACTTATTGTCATACTGACCTCATTTTTGTCCTTCATACAGGACCAAGTTTTCTTCTTTTCAAGGCTATTTATGGGCTGTGTCTTCAGTTTTCAAGTTTTAGCTCAAATATCATCTTTCATGTAAACCTTCCTTGACCATCTCATCATCTCCCTCAGCATATCCATCTATAATACCAACCTGTCTTTTTTTCCCTTTAGCATGTATCAACATCTGAAATTATCTTGTTTATTTTTTTTTGTTTGCTTCTGTATACCATCTACTTTCCCTCTTACTGGAATTAAAGCTCCTGTTTACTATGTCCATTTTTATTTACCACTGTTGCCCAGCATTTGGGACTATTGTGTGGCATGTGAGAGGTTAGCAGTAAATATTTGTTGAATAAAATGAATGAATGAGTGAATCAGGGAACACATTAATGCCTAGTTTGAGGTACTATTAATATTGATATGTTCACAGAAGAATACATACCATTTTACCCCCCAAAGGACTTTATGCTTTTGTAGATAAAAAGCAGTTTTCTTGAACTAGGACCATTGTCTTTATTTCTTATGTGCATCATAATTACATTCCTGGTAAGATTACTTAACCCTAATGATCTTCATTTTCTAAGGTAACTCTAAAAGTAGCCATTATTGGTATATTGCTGGTTCACCTTTGCAATTATAAAATTTACAAATCCATAAAACATTTTTCAGTTTAACTTTTGCAATAAGAAGTTACAATTTAGCAAAATAAATCAAGTACTTTGGATACACAAGTGTTTAAGGCTCTTTAATTAGCAGAGACAGTGCAGGTTGAAATTTATTGAAAATTTGTAGTTTTATGGTTTATTTGGAAACTTGTTTTCATATTATATTCAGAATTTTCAATAGTTGATTTTAATTGAAGATCTGATATATAAGCTATAACTATGAACAACATGCATAGAAAAATATTAAATCTGATAAATGTTATTCAAAATTTTCTATAGCTAGTCACCACTGTGATGTCGATCAATATCAAATGTTTTTTTAGAATGTTTATTTTGAGGATAGATTATGTTACTAAAATATCTTTGAGAAATAACTTTTGTATATTGTTAATTTTGGCCTTTTACATTTATATTAGCCCTTTGAATGTATTTCCTATATTCATTTATAAAATTCATGATTCTGAAAATGTAATTTTATTATATTTATTTAAAACACACATATACTGGGGCGCCTGGGTGGCTCAGTCAGTTAAGCGTCCCACTTTGGCTCAGGTCATGATCTCACGGTTCGTGGTTCGAGCCCCACGTCGGGCTCTGTGCTGATAGCCGGCTCAGAGCCTGGAGCCTGCTTCAGATTCTGTGTCTCCCTCTATCTCTGACCCTCCCCTTTTCATGCTGTCTCTCTCTCTCAGAAATAAAGAAAACATTTTAAAAAATTGAAAAAAAATAAAAAATAAAACACATATATACTTGCAGTCTGTTGTCATTATTCATGGTCATTAGGTTCTTTTACACCATTGTGAACACTGAATTAGCAAATATGAATCATTGCTCCTGGAGGGAATGCAGAATTAAATTCTGAAAGCCTCTGGTCACCACATTTTCATTAATCATTACAGAAGCTTGTTTTATGTATGTTTCTCTTTAAAGATACCTTATTTAATCTATACTGTTGATTAACACTGAACTCATGGCCAACAGCACTATACACTCTTGCCTGAACAAAGCTTATCTAGCTCTGTTTTTCTCCTTAAGGTACATCACAGCCTTCTTGAACTTAAGAATGCTAGTTGTATGCACGGGCTACATTTTAAACAATAAAATCACCAACAAAAGTACAGTAATTGGAAAAATGTGACACTAAGTAGACTACAAAATGAGATACCAATTTACAACATAAAGGCTGAAACTAGAGGGCAGAGACTTGCCTCTGAAGGCACAGCAAACACTGATATTGGAGGTTATAAATAATTTATAGTGAGTAGGCAGAATTAGAAATATGGAATCTGTAAATGAGGATTGATGTATAGTTATATAAAACAATACAATTTAAAATTTTCTAATAAAATAACTTTGGGAAAAGAGCAGAAAACAATTTATAACTTTACCACTGTAAGATTTTTATATGTTCTTCCAATTTTTGCCTCTGGTATATATGTTTTCAAATATTGCATAGACAGCTATATTTTTTGTCTTCCACCTCAGTCTCTGGAAAACCCTCCTCCTCCATTGATGCGTTTTTTAAAAATTTTATTTATTTATTTATTCATTCATTCACTCATTCATTCATTCATTCATTTAATTTAGAGAGCACAAGCACGGGAGGGGCAGAGAGAGAAGGAGAAAGAATTCCAAGCAGGCTCTGCACTGTCAGTGTGGAGCCCAGTGCAGAGCTTGAACCCACAAAACCTGCAAGATCATGACCTGAGCTGAAAACAAGAATCGGAGGCTTAATCAATGAGCCTCCCAGGCGCTCCCATTGAGGTATTTTATTTTATTATTTTATTTTTTTTTTAATTTTTTTTAATGTTTTTATTTCTAGGAGAGAGAGAGAGAGAGAGAGACAGCGTGAGCAGGGGAGGGAGAGAGAGGGAGTCACAGACTCTGAAACAGGCTCCAGGCTCTGAGCTGGCAGTCAGCACAGAGCCCGACGCGGGGCTCGAACCCACAAACCGTGAGATCATGACCTAAGCGAAAGTCGGACGCTTAACCAACTAAGCCACCCAGGTGCCCCTCATTGATCTATTTTAAAAGGAGTCTTCTTTACCCCATGCTCCAGAGATGGGCATGTGACCTATCCTAAAAATTGTGATATTCCCAGCTACAGTCATTGATACTGTGTTAGGGATATGTTCACTTAGAGCCAAGGAGGTTCCTTAGAATTTCTCTTTTATACTAGACTTGAGTTTTGCTGCCACTGCCTTTCACAGGAAACCTAAGAGTGAACCTAATGCAGAAGGAGGCAGAGTAGAGAGACTAAGAAAAACCAAATCCTGATGAAATAATTTAATAGGTCTTGAATTAATTTATTTTTATAAAATTGTATATATTTAAGATATATGATGCACTATTTTAATATACATATATATTGTGAAATGATTACTACAATCAAGCTAATTACGATATCCATCACCTCACATAGTTGCTTTTTTTGCTTGTATGATAAGAACACTTAATATTTCCTTCAGTGAATTTCAAATATACAACCTAATATTATTAAACACAGCCAACTTTCTATCAATGAGGTCTCTAGACCTCGACTCAACCCATGTAACAGAAACTTTGTACCCTTTCACAAATGTCGCCATTTCCTGCCCCCTACTCCTGGTAACCACCATTTTCTCTGCTTCTATGATTTTGACTTTTTTTCACATTAAGTGATAATCATACACTATTTTTTCCTGTGCTTGAATTATTTCATTTAGCATGATGTCCTCGGTTCATCCAGCTTCATTGATGTCACCTATGACAAGATTTCCTTCTTCTTTAAGGCTGAATGAAATTCCAGTGTGTGGGGGGAATGAATAATGTGAACAATGCCACACTGAGCATGGGAGTGCAGGTATTTCTTTGAGATGACTTTCTTTTTGCTATATATCTGGAAGTGGGATTATTAGATTATGGAACAAGCTATAGGTTTCGTATAGGCCTGCATACACACGTGTTTACGTGTGCATGCATACTTAACGATTGGTCCTGGATGAAAATGATACCTGAAGTCATTCCATATGACATTCAAGAACATTCAGTTGCTCAGGTACAGGAGAGGGGGGAGAAAAGATCACTGAGTTCACTAAGGAAGGTCAACAGGGGAGAGGTTTCTGAAGGTTTTTTAAGAGAATAATTTTAATGATGGGCCATAGAATCAAAGCTGGAGAGGGACAGAAATGAAAACAGAACTGAAGTAATGTATAATTACATTACTTGAAAATGATTGGTTTTAATGTACTTGTTGGGAGAACAAGAGGATCAGAGAGGTTTGCAATCGATATTTTTTTGAGGGTGATGTCACTCGGAGAAAGATCCTATGGAGGAAAATGGTTCAAGTAAAGTGAGTAGAAATAGAGAAGTAGAGGTGAAAATCAGAGGGTCACAGAGCTAAGGCCTGGATGTTAGATGAAAACAAGGTGTTTACATTTCCATCATATGAGTAATTCCACATAGGAGCCAAATACAGGTAAGTAATTTATAGGTGCTTTGTTTGACTCTAGTGTTTGATTTTGCTTTGGTTAAGGAAAAAGGGCTTCAGAGTCAAAAATCTCTGTCTAAACTTGAGTCTGCTATGAACATGTATTTTAGAACAAAGAGAAAAACTTTGGAGTATAAATTATTTATCAGATCTTTCTGCTTGATTAAGATGTTTATGAGGTGTCTCTTGACCCCTTCCTACACATACACAACCAAGGTCTGTTTCTTCTGCCAGCCAAGAAAAAAAAATGTTCAGCTAGCCCTCTCCCTTTGGGGGATAGTTTCAGATAGATTCCCCACCTCTCCATAGTCAAAGCAAAAGTGAAGACCTGTCCATGTTTCAGGGTCTTGACCAGTCCTGGGGTTACAACTATACCTATCCCTCCCACACTGATATTTGTGAGCTGGTGAAATATGTGTGAATGGTCACAGCAGTTTCATTTCTGGGCCCCCTCTCAGACTGAAAGCTAATTCTGCTGAAAATTGTGACTTGGGCCATGAGCTGCTTCTTAGAATCTATTGATTGTGAGTGAAGAACCTGGCCTAATCTCAGGGATTTGGTTAGTTAAGGGTCATGTTTTAGGGGACTGAATCACCTCTAAGCTCAGAGTTCTTCCTGACACTCATCAGTGTCTTCTCTTAAGATTTGTTCCTTATTAGTAGTAAAGTATAAATCTGTTTAGTAGTTCTTACCTATATGATATATAAATGTCTCCTACACTAATCTGATCTTGTTATTTCTAATTCTTCATTTTAATTCTTTCACACCTTGCTGGAGGATTCATTTCAAGAATCTCAAAGTCTGGGGGTGCCTGAGTGGTCCAGTTGGGTGAGCATCTGACTTTTGATTTTGGCTCAGGTCATGATCTGACAGTTTGTGGGATAGAGCCCCACATCAGGCTCCCTACTGATAGCACAGAGCTTGCTTGAGATTCTCTTCTCTGTCTCTGCCTCCCCCTGCTTGTGCATGCACGTGTGCACGCACACACACACACACACACTCTCTCTCTCTCTCAAAATAAATAAATAGATATTTTTTAAAAAGAATCTTAAAGTCTAAATATATGGGTAGATTATTTTCCCTTTACTTTATTATGTGGGTGTTAATTTAACCTAAGAATGCTAGCAAATCTTCACCCTGAAATGTACAGTTGGTTTTTTGGTGAGTGGGAGGAAGAGATAGATTGAATACTGCACAGAACTAGTTCTTTGTGGCCTTAAGTTCACTACCAACTCTAAATTCAAGACTTTGTAGATCCTCACTTAATCTTCAATATTTCTAATCTCTGGAGTCTTGTACTATTACCGGCACTTGGTTTATTCCAACCATAAATTACATGCCTTTTCTCCCATTCCTGGCAGTGTCCCATCTTAATGTTTCCAGTTTATGGTAGTAAATACCCCTACTAGTGGTCCCAAAGTCAGCTGGATGACTGTAGCATAGTATCCCAGTCTCCAGTGGTTTCACTCATAGCCAGTAAAAAGAGAGATGAACCCTGGATCAGTCTATTTCCACCACAGGTCTCTTCTTTTGGGCCAGGAAAGACACCATCTCTAACAATTTGATATCTTTGAAGACTGGATTAAAATAAATTTTTAGTCTGTAACTCTGAAAGAATGCCTCTATTTAGTAAAATGATGAAATGCTGCCTAAATCTGGTTTTTATCTGTAAATAATCTAATCTTGAGCTCTGAATTCCCAGCTAGAATTCACTTTCTTTATGCCTTAAAGTAATTCCTAACTAATGAAAGTGTGGTGCCCGACCCCCTGTATGGGTATGGTAAAAGTTAATTTGTGGCTTTGTTTTAGGGTAATGATTTAATCTGACTTGGAGTTGAACAATTTTATCGTCTGGTTAAAATCCCATCTGGTAGTCCCTCAAATATACCTCAAATCTAAGACTTTCTTGTTCCCATCCTACTAAGGCCAGCTCAATGTCACATTAAAAAAAATACAAATTCTATTTTTAAAAGCATTGAAAATCAAGTCTTTATGAAGTTTCTTGAAGCAGTGGAAGAAGAAGTCCTTCATTTAATACTAAGTAAACTAAAATTGGTCTTTACCTATCTGTCCTCTTCAGAGTTAACAAACTATGCAAGAATTACGTCCCTCTTTTCCTTAGAAGTCATGAAAAAAGTGACCTTTCACTTTCTTACTTAATTCCATCCTACCTCCTGTACTCTCCCAAATCTAGTCTTGCAATATCTTCATGTTTTTCCTTCTATTAAGAGCATTCTCAGTCCCTCCATGTCTGCATTTTTACCTACCAGCCAGCTAAGTCCCTGGGAGTAAATAAAAATTATTTCTTAGAGGTATGAACTGAGGAGGGGAAGATGAAGCTACATTTTTAACCGTTTCTGTCTATTTTATATGTCCCTTCAAGTATATGTAATGCATTTAGATGTTAAGCATTCTTCAGCACCTTGTAATGCCCAGTTACCTCATCCATAGCCTTGGATACTGCCACTTCCTTAGGTTGTTGAACCTTTACTGCGTGACACTTCTTTGTTAGAAACAAAACAAAAAATCCATTGGAGAACTGCAGGAGACAATCTTTCTAGGCAAGGCAGTTAAGTGAGGGACTGGATGTGGGGTAGGAAGATGGCCTGATAAATACTCCACACCTCAGGAATTACTGAGTATGGAATGGCTACCTTTGGGAAACTATTTCTAGAAGACAAAATGTTTCCTATTACAATCCAAAGAGGTACTGAAGTATAGAGGGCTGCTGGATGCACAGAGCTAGGTTCTGCAAGGCTCAGTTTAGTTACAGTAAATAAGGAAATGACTTCCAGAGCTGCAGTTTCCAGCTACATGATACTTCAGAAGACTTTTGCAAATAGCCCAGTACTACTTGTGAAAAGTAGAAAAAGCTCCAGCAGGATAAAAAGACAAACAAAAAACTGGAATCATGTGGTAGGTCTAAGGGCAGGACTCAGTCTAACCTCTATTATCGAAGCGGAAGAACATGGAAAGTATCTTGGAAACAAGATAAAGAAGCAACTGGATTGGTATACTGCAGGAAGAATTTCACAGTCCTGAGAGCCACCATACCGCCTCAGGTACTTGGTCACCTCAGTTTCCCTGTTGCACTTACCTGTCAGATGATGGCTCTGACACAGAGATGGCTTCTGGTTCTAACAACACACTTACCTTTTTCTTTTTTAATCATACTTGTTGGAAATGGGGTAAACTATGTTGTGAGTTTAACTATAAAAGGCACTTTGGAGAAGTCCTTGACCCCCATCTATTGAAACCTTGCTGCAGCAATAAGAAGGGTTTCTGAGAGGCTGTAGGAGCTGGGTGCTGGAGCCTCTACTACTATTTCCTCCGAGGGGTGGTGACCAAGGTTTATGTAGCTGGGAAACAAAAATCCTAAATTTAGTTTGCTAGGACTGCCATGACAAAATATTACAGACTAAGTGGCTTAAATGACAGAAATTTATTTTCTCCTTGTTCTGGAGGCCAGAAGTGTGAAATCTAGGTGTCAGCAGGGTTGGTTCCTTCCGAGGTCCTTGAGGTAAGAATCTGTTCCAGGTCTCTCTCTTCTTGGCATGTAGATGGTCATCTTCTCCCTGTGTCTTCACATTGTCTTCCCTCTGCAGGTGTCTGTCCAAATTTCCTCTTCTGATAAGAGCACCAGTCAGATTGCATTGGGGCCCACCCTAATTTTAATTTACTGAAGCTCTTTAAAGACCCTATCTCCAAATACAGTTATATTCTGAGGCACTGAGATTTAGGACTTCAACATATAAATTTGGTGGGGGAGGGGAGATTCAGCACTTAATAGTGGCTTTCCAGCTCTTTGATACTCATTATTATGCTTAAAGGCAATTTCTAGAATGGTTTTGAATTGGTTCTTCTTTTCTCCATTTCCACAATCTGTGAAGCTAGTACTATAGAAAATTTTGTTTCATAATATGTAAGATATTGTTTCATAGGAAAACTGAATGCTTCTATAAAGTCTTTATATCCCCTTCTAATGAATGAAATTAAGGGAATTTCAGGGGACTGAGGTAGGATTAATTGTATGATAGACCACATGTAATTTTATCCTTCCATATGGAGAAGGGGTGGTTGAGGCATTTTTCAGAGGTGACTGGCTGTACTTGTTTTCCCTCATAATAATAAATTTGTAATAACTCAATCACGTAGTCTTGTCACTGGAAGTATTTATTAACAGTTTTGAGTTAAGGTTTTGCCAACATTCTGATCACTCAAATCTTTACTACTGAAATATTAATCAGGACACATTATGCTTCCTAGTGTAAATACCTTGAAGGAGAAAATAATTTCCTAAATATACAAAGAGGTAACTTGACTGTCTATGTCATATCTTGTGTCACTTCCTTCTGTGTTAATATTTGATAAGG